TAGGTTGCTTATGCAACTCGCGAAGCTTTGCATCACAACCCCCATTCAGTTCGTTCGTCAAGTTAATTAGTGTGCTTCGCATTACCTCGGCCAATTTCCATCAACAGTTTGAGCGAACGATCCTCGGAACGAGTCAAATCATGGCATAATCATGAAGTTCTCAAAGTTCAAGCGTTGAACCTTAAGAATTTGGGGCTTCTATTATGCTTAAAAAATCAAAGCTGACGTAGACTCACGTCAGCAAGGGTTAATCAGAGTTCAGGAAGACATTGTGTCGTCCAGGCGCTGTCACGTCGTCCAAGGACAAGAGGAATAAGGTTGTCATCAACTTGGCAGGTAAGGGTATGGCTAGTGAATGGTTGGGAGTCATCCACTTACCCGATCCCTGCGTGATTTAAGGATACATACCACACAGCCAGCCAATAGGAAGCAAGGTAGGAACTGCACGATACCTGCCCATTGACAGACCCGTAATCATTGCCCAGGAACCTCTTACTATAAATAGAGAGTTCTCCTCTCTTCATCCGGATTCGACTTTGGATAATATAAACACTCTCTCTCCTTCTCTGTATTTCTTTTCTGATAATTATTTGCGACCTAATTGTAACTTTTCTTCTATAAAAAGATAATGGATGTAGGATTTGCTTTGAGTATTCGAACAACTTTAAAAATTATCTTTCTTTATTTATTTATTTCCATTCCCAGTTCACGTGTAATTCCTAAGTCCGCTTAACACTTTGCACGTGCGATAGTTGGTGTCAAAATCCAGCATCAACAAAGTTAATTCACATTATTTTTATGGTTATTTTTGTCTTATATTTTACTTAGATAATCTTACCGTAATAGAACCATAAATAGTGAGTATGATAGGAAGATTTATAATTAACTCTTTGATTATCATAAATAAATAAATAAAAAGGACTTTGGAGTAAAATATGATCAATAATTGTTTAATCACATTAGATTTAACATTTTCAATCTCTTGCAAGTTGTGTTATTCTGAGAACTATTTAAATACAATATAGTCAAGATTTTCAATTTTTATGAGTTACATTTAAGATTATAAACGCAAATCGAGTCATATACTTAGAAAGATGTCTTGAAATTATATGTTCAAAATTCTTTAAATTTCTTACATGACTATACTGAATTTTTTTAAAATCAAACCATTATATATATTATATATATAAAGTGTGCTCTAAAAGTTTAAAATTCAGAAATTTCTTTCATCAATTGTAGAACTTTATTGTTGTTTACATTTATATATAAAAACATTCTCATAAATTCATAACTCATAAGAATATTTTATCCACCAAAAATTTAAAAATAAAAATTATTGAATTTTAACAGAACTTTTTGTTTTCATAAATCACTATATTGAATATTGACAAAACCTTTTTTACAATTGAAGCCCACATTTTTTACACAATTTAAAATTGTCATTTTTCTCCAATATTACATTTATCCAAAAATACTTACACAATTTTGAAAGATTAAATCATTAATATTAACATTCAAAAAAATGATTCTAGAGCTAGATCATATTATTTCTGAACTACCTTAATTATGGACAAATTACATTGAAGTATAACTATTAGTAACCAAAATCCTTTAAAATATAGTTCTAATGTAGTTCATAAATTAGAGATGCAGTATAGACCCCCAAAGACAATAATAAGAACTGAAATATTAAAAAAAAAAAAAAAATACTGTTACAACTTATATAATCAATAAATATTTGCTATCTTACCCTTTTACCATTCATTTTGCATAAATGAGAAATTTATGTTATTTCAGTAATTTCACGAAGTTTTTTGTTATTTAATCAGTAAGTCAATATAAGTCATCAACTCTGATTTTGTGATTTTGTTTTAAAATTATTATGACAGTCCTGTAAAATATTACTAGCACCGGAGCTATGAAGAAATAATGCAATTAACAATAACCTTAAAAAACAAAACCAAGTTACAGGCTTACAGCAGTAATTTTCCCCATTAAAAAAAATAAAATAAAAAACCAAAAACCAAAAGCTAAGTCTCTCATTCAGTCTCTAAGTCTCCACTTAATTTTCATCCAGAGGTATTGGTGTTAGAGCTTTGAAACTTTCCTCCACCTCCAGCTTCCCTACGATCAGGTCGAGGATGCAACTGAGATTGATAAGTTCCAGAAGAAGGATGATGATGAGATGAATCATTAACGTTAGTATTATTATTTGAAGGGTTGGGATTCTTATTAATGTTGTGGGCGCTGGAGAAGAGATCAATCGGTTCAGAATCGGCAATTTTTCCTCCTTCAAGTGGGGTGCCATGCTTGTAACTCACCCTCAGAGTGTCGTCTTCGGATAGCTTCGCCTGCGCAGTTCCGTACTTTATATCGTCTTTGCTCTTCGCCATTGATTCTTTCTGTCTTTCGGTTGTAGGTGGAAGGAACTGCTTCTTGGATGGTAATTTGCTTCGTTCTTATGTAGAATTATATAGACTAGAAGAAGAAGAAGATGAAGATGGTACTACACGTAGCTGATTATTGATGTGAGAGTACAACACGTGTTCCTTGCTAATGCCACGTACTAGCCCTTACCTATGTTCTCTTTTTCTTTTTAAAGTTTCTTGTAATCCCATCATCTCTCACGACATTATCAATATTTGTCTATGTGATTTTTCGAACCACCGACAATTACGTAAATCTCGTAAGAAATATTATGCAAGTAGTTTGTAATAAATCGGTGTTTTAATGTTGGATTAATACTATAATGACTAATTAACATAAAAACGGAATTTTTAAAATGATTTGAATGCAAGATACAAATCACATGTCTATTGTTGTTTTATTGCTTTTATGGTGCATTTTTCTAATACAAGCGAGCTCAATTCTAAATACAAGTGAGTGGTTTTTACAGCAAGAAAATAAAGTATTCCTAGATCCTCTCACTAGGGTGTGAGACCCCTTTATATAATGTTGTCTATGTGGACTTACTAGTGAGATAACTCTTCCAGAGAGCAACATGCGGCTTGAGGTGGACTTGCACATAAAGTAACATTTTCATGAGATGACATGCGGTCTAACTGACAGTATAAATTAATGCTTACTTACGAGGAATATAACTTTTGATAAACTTAAAAGTGAAGTAATCCTTTAATGGAGTGACACATGACCTGATGATAGTATATCTTTAGGACACATGGTGTGAATCCATATATGGTGGATTTACCGTATAACAATATTTTTAAACTAACCTCTATTAAATATAATAATTTGATTTCGCAAATATATGTAATGTTTAGATCTTTAATGGTTTTTTAGAGTAGAAATAAGTTGTTTGACATGAATTAAAACTGAGAGAAAGCTTAAAGAAGCTTTGAAAAGAAGCATTCTTATATGGGCATTGCTCTTTGTATAGACCTTGGTCATGGAAATACAGAAAAATATAAGAAGAGTTTGTTATATTTTATAATCCTAATGACACATTTCGCACTTGTTTTTTTACCTCTAATTAGGCTTCTTTTTACATCTCTGGCCCAATTTTAAGAAAATAAAAATTCGTAATTCCTGCATTACCATATGCATATTTTATTTTTATTTTTTTTCGCGACAACAAGCATTCATATAATGCATATGTGAATAACTCTATTATTCAACATGCATGTTCTTAAATTCATGTTGAATTAAGAATCAAATTAATTTTTTTTTTTCTTTTGCTCTAAGGGCTAGGGGTGTTTAAAAAAATGCAAAAACCGAATCGAACCGCTAACCGAAAAAAAGGTTCGGTTACGATTCGAAAAATTCAAAAAACCGAATTTTCGGTTCGGTTACCGGTTTGGGAGAAATTAGAAACGGTTAACCGAAAACCGGTTTTCTAAACCGGTTTTTCAAATATATATATNGGGACAACAAGCATTCATATAATGCATATGTGAATAACTCCATTATTCAACACGCATGTTCTTAAATTCATGTTGAATTAAGAATCTAATTTTTTATTTTTTTTTCTTTTGCTCTAAGGGATTTTGAACTATCATATATAGTTGTGTTCCAAAAATATCACCCAAAACTTCAAACATTGTACCATCATTTTTACCTAATTGTTTTATCTTTTTATACGAAAGTCAAACATAACAAATCTAAAATATTGTGAGATAATGTCAACCCTATCCATCACCGATACATTTACATCACTTATGAATATTTTCTCTCACATGAATCTTTATTATCAATTTAAAAATTTATATGTAAACAATGTATTGATTGATGATATAGATGACGTGGTACTTATAGTACAATAGATGTTCTAAGTCAAACATCCTTCCTAATTTTTTTTTAATTTTGACTTCAATTCTTGTTAACAACAAAAATATTATTAATGAGAGTTAATTCATATGGTAGTATTTTAGTCCATTGGCATTTTAACTCTTACTATTTGATACATGAGTAAAAGATAAATTTATAATATCTTATCAATAAACCAGAATATTACACATGTATATTGAAAACGACAATATTGATATACATAAGAATAAATTATGCGTACATGAGTTTAATATTCATATATGAGAAGCATTGGTACATAAGGTTAGAAATGTAAATCACATATATGATTTCTATAACTAATTTAATCTATTCGAAAAAAAAAAAAATTATAATTTCATCAAACTATTATAACTTATATTTACAATTGAAAGTTTAAGTCATTAATTTACTACAATTTAATGAATTATAAAAGTGGAAAAGGACTCTGGGATTATAACAACTTTCATACTGTTTGAATTATATTTATTTAAATCAACTTATATATCCTTTCATATAGTATGTATTTTGATCTCAATTACAAGAAAGTGATATTTCCAATCTTTAAGATATTTTTGGAAATTTATCTTACACGTTCTTTCTTCCCAAGCCCATCAAAACTATGTCGTATAAGCAAGAAATGGACACAAATAACGAACACCAATTTAGTGGAAGCAAATTCCAAAACTTAAATCCCAGCGCGTGTTGACTACAACGGCAATTCGCGTGTGAAACTTCGCCAGTCATCGACGTAGGATAACGAAAGGGAGAGTTGTGGATGGAACCGCGGCTCTTGTTGTGAATCAAAATCAGGAAAACAATAACCTAAACAAAATCAAAAAGCAAATCACAACTCTCTTCATTCAAATCCACTGTACGTTCATCTCTTCCTTGATTAATTTCTTTCTTGTTTATTCTTTGTTCATTCAAATGTGTTTTTTCAAGGTTATTTCAGTCATATGATTAGAGTTAGGTTTCAGTTTTAACTAATTCGTGATGGCAACTCTGTTAAAATCACTCTCCCACATAACAAACCCATCTTCGGAACCCAAAAGGGCATGTGGGTTCTTCTCACACGTTCCAAATCTTCATTCTTTTTCACTCAACAAAGGTTTTTCAAGAGTTTTAGCATCAACCCAGATCACCATTTCTCCAAAAGACTCTGTTTACACTTTACCCAATTGGAAGTATGGTAAAAATGACTCTAGAACTAGGGACCATAAGCTCAATGATGCATTCTTGCATTTGGAGAAAATTGTGTTGAAGGGTCACAAGCCTGATGTGGGTCAAGCCACTAACCTTTTGTATGATTTGTGTAAGGCTAATAAAATGAAAAAGGCAATTAAAGTTATGGAAATGATGGTTAGTTCAGGGATTATTCCTGATGCATCGTCTTATACTTACTTGGTGAATAGTTTGTGTAAGAAAGGGAACGTTGGTTATGCAATGCAATTAGTTGAGAAAATGGAGGAGTATGGGTATCCGACGAATACGGTTACTTATAATTCACTTGTTAGAGGACTCTGTTTGCATGGTAATTTGAATCAGAGCTTGCAACTCTTGGATAAGTTGATACAGAAGGGGTTAGTTCCGAATGCATTCACTTATTCGTTCTTGCTTGAAGCTGCGTATAAGGAAAGGGGTGTGGATGACGCAATGAAGTTATTGGATGAGATAATTGTTAAGGGTGGGAAGCCGAACTTGGTTAGTTACAATGTATTGTTGACTGGGTTGTGCAAGGAAGGTAGGATTGAAGAGGCGATTCGGTTCTTTAGGAATTTGCCTTTGAAAGGGTTTCATCCGAATGTTGTGAGTTATAATATTTTGCTGAGGAGCTTGTGCCATGAAGGACGGTGGGAGGAGGCGAATGAGCTCTTGGCGGAGATGGATGGAGAGGATCGTGTCCCGTCAATAGTTACTTATAACATACTAATAGGTTCCCTTGCAATCCATGGTAAAGCAGATCAAGCTCTCAAGGTTTTGGATGAAATGATTAAGGCTCGTTTTAAGACCACTGCTGCTAGCTACAATCCAATAATTGCTTGTCTTTGCAGAGAAGGAAAGGTAGATCTGGTGGTCAAGTGCCTGGACCAAATGATTTATCGGCGATGTAAACCAAATGAGGGAACATATAGTGCCATTGCAATGCTCTGTGGAGTCGGGAAGGTGCAAGAAGCATTTTCCATCATTCAAAGCCTGGGGAATAAACAAAACTTTTCAATGCATGAATTCTTCAAAAATGTGATTGCAAGTTTGTGTAGAAAAGGGAATACATACCAGGCATTTCAACTTTTATATGAAATGACAAAGTATGGATTTACGCCCGACTCTTATGCATATTCATCTTTGATCAGAGGGTTATGTATGGAGGGAATGCTTCAGGAGGCCTTGGAGATTTTCATGGTAATGGAAGAATATGACTATAAGCCTGAAGTAGATAACTTCAATGCACTTATACTTGGATTATGCAAATCAAAAAGAACTGATTTGTCTCTAGAAGTTTTTGAAATGATGATCGAGAAAGGTCACATGCCTAATGAAACAACATACACCATTCTAGTGGAAGGAATTGCCCATGAGGAAGAGACCAGGCTCTCCGCTCAAGTTTTGAAAGAGTTGCATTTGAGAGATGTTGTGAGTCAAAGTACTGTCGAAAGACTGGTTATGCAATACGACCTTGAGGGTTTACAAACGTAAATATTTGAAGGCAAAAGAAAAGTGGAAAACGAGCTGGTGATTTAATGCCAGCACCTCGTCAAGGAAACTGTTCGTGACTGGTGAGTTTGAGATAGACATTTAATCATGAATTCTGTAGATTGATAAATAAAACAAAGACTTCTTCAAAAAGATGTATTTGTATTTTTTTAAGTTAGGGAAGAAGTGGTTGAAGAAAAAGGATTCTAGGTCCTAAGGTATTCTTTCACTTGCTTATTATATTGTTTAGTGAATTGAAGCAACCATTTTCATCATTTAGAGAAGTTAAATTTCTTGAGTATATGTTTGGTTCAACTTATTCCCTCAAAGTCATCTAATACAAACCATTCCCTTTGTGCACGCTTATATGGTCTATATTTTAAATGCATAGCGAGCCTTGATTGCAATTCCTTATTTCACGATGATTAGTGAACATATGATCAATTTTAATCTAGGATACGTCGAGCAATATCATTTACTTGATATATTTATTCATTTCTACTTTGGTTGCAGATAAGACTGAGGAAAAGAAATTTACGAACATGTAGGAAGGCACACTTGGGATATTGTGTTTTGATAAATGGATTAGGATGATTCCTGATTGTTGAAGGTTCTAAAACTGTTTTTCCTTTTTTTTCCTTGTCTCTGTAATGACCATATATTGAAAGAAAAAAGGTGCCAAAAAAAAAAAGTGCATTATCTTCTCCTCAGAATGGATTATTCTTCTTTACAGTTCTTAGTGTGGAAACAAAAAATACTTATTTTCATTTGAACAACAGAACTATTGAAATTGTAGCTTATCTACTGTTGATTTGCTTAACCAGTTTATTGGGAAAGGGTAAATTAGCTGTTGAATAAATTATTAAAACTCAAATTAGTTATACATTTCATCATTAGTTATGGCAAAAACTTCTTGAAGTGCAAGTGGGTCTCTGGGTTATACTGAAGTATATTGTTGTTCAGCTCATTCTTTCAAGCATGATCAAAGATTTATTAAACATGTTTAGTTTAGCAATCCTCCACCCACTGTGTTGTTTCTGCTTGAAATAATGGTAATTTTTTTTTGGAATGTGTCTAAAGTCCCTCAAGGAAAGGAATAGAATCATGCCTTGATTTTTCTCACAATTTAAAGTATTTGCAAATTGGAAAAGCTTCTCATTTGAAGTTAATTTTGGTCTTTGGAGAATCATAATATGAAAGCACAGTATGTGCCAAACTTCTTTTTTTTTTTTTTTTTTTTTTTTTTTTTTTTTAGTGACCGGTGTGTTTGGACCAGTTTATACGCATCTCAACTAATCTCTAAAGCCTTAAAGTTAACGGTTGGATAAACCTCTCATGACAACCCTTATTAGCAACTGAAATATATCAAACTCAAAACCTCTTGGATAATCTCCAAGAGTCTATATTTAATCACTTAGTCACCCAAAGGTGGTTGAAGGTAGTTGTGCCAAACTTCTTACGGTCTCTGCAACTATGACTATTAACATCAAAATGTATATCCTTGGATGGATTTCTTGATTCTTTCCATATTCTCATACAGCTTATAAACAAGCTTCCAAACTCTCATTCCCTTCACCATCTGCTAGGACAACTGCTTGGCTACAGCAATGCCATTTTAGAAGGCCTGGCCTTGAGTCTTTCACAGAGCTTATTTTCATTTTTCAACAAAACTACATAAGAAAGAGGAGATGAGATGTTGTACGTGTCAGTAGAGAGAAGCCTGCAAATCAGGAGTATTTATTTGACTAAATTTGGATTTGATTGATGCTGTTGTTATTCGGCTTCCCCAACAATTAATTTCCTCTTCCATCCCTGTTTAATCTTCACAGGAATTACCCCTCCCATCCGTCTAAGAATGGTGTTGACTATGGAGAATTATAACAATGTAGTCGAGAATTAATTGCAATGAATATCATCTCTGCATTCTAAAATGCTCCAGAATGAATATTCTTCAGTATAAGAACCACACTTCGAGAATAAATTGCAATGAATATCATCTCTGCATTCTAAAATGCTCCAGAATGAATATTCTTCAATATAAGAACCTTCAGTATAAGAACCACACTTCTGCATATTATAATTTAACTGATTACAAATAGACAAACAAGAGGCTGAAGGATTCCTTTCCAAATCACATCTTGCAATGTTTCAACCATCCGAGATTTGAATATCCATCATCTTCTAATCAAGCCACATTTTTTTACCATTCGCTTTCCACGTATAGAGCATGACAACTACAGAAGGGCAGCCAACCCTAGACACAACAAATAGCTTTGGCTATCCAGCATGTGTCGTCCGGTTGTTGATCTTAGATATCAATAGATCCCAGGTGAAATTTTCCACGATTACTTGAAGCGATACTTGAAAGAATAATTTCACAAACTACCCCCAACAATACTTTTCGATTTCTGGGACGGTAATGTAAAGCCCCTTTAAGTAAAGATATGATATGCAGAAAAGCTAAGCTTAGAGTAGGTCTCAGACTAATCATGCCATATATAATGGTCAAAGTGACTTAAGATATAAACATACAAATCCTCAAAGTGACCAAGATCCACACTCGCAATTTTCTCAATCAAACAAATCGACCTAAATGGACCCCCATATAAACCTTTTGGTAGACGAAGGTCACTCATACTGTACAAATTTGCATATACAAATGCAATAACAATAACAGTAAACTGGATTGCCTAAAATAATTATAACCCTCAATGATTAAGCTCGGATCTACAAGTTAATCATTGCTTAAAATGGTCAAACTTAAACAAACCAACCTGGCAACCACACAGCACTTGTGTTAGCATCATAAAATTGTAAAACAATGACAAAATCAACATAATATTAACACAGATTTAGAAAGGCAACCATTAGATTTTCAATATATTTAACCACTGCATATTAAGTAAAACAACTGTAGGCAAACACTTAAAACATATAATCGACAAAATACTCAGATAGTACTATTCAATACACTCAAACAACATTCTAAAATTCTTAATACTCATGGCTGCTAAACCTAGAACTAGAAGATGAAACAGAAAAAGCTTCCCCGAAAGAGAATCCCCTCCATTCTTGACAGCTTCATCCATATAGTCCATGCTGAAAAGTCCAAAGAAGAAGACACTTCAGGAGAAGGCTCATCCATGATCTAGCACCTACTTAGATCTCTGCCTCATCTTTCGGCGCTTCCTCTTCAACCTCCTCATACGCTTCTTCTTCCACTGTAAGCAATTAAAAATAAAATCCATTTCATTCCAAAGAAAGAAAAAAAAATCGACAAAATATATCACTATAAACAACACATAATACCACATAATATAAAACCGACTAACACATCTCTTCCTCACTAACTTGGCATCAATTACAAAAACTTGACAACTATTCATAATACGAGTAAACATTTCATCGAGAGGACAACAAGAAAGACAACATATAATACCACATAATATAAAACCAAGTAACGCATCTCTTCCTCAATAACTTGCCATCAATTACAAAAACTTGACAACTGATCATAATACGAGTAAACATTTCATCGAAAGGGAAACAAGAAAGACATAACGTGACATTCAAAGTTACAATCAACTTTATGTCAATAAGATGTTACAACATAGACCAAAACACTGTAGATATATTGTCCATACAAAAATCATTGGAAGGGCAGAGTCTAAAACTTCTCGTTTAATCAATTTTCAGTTTATTTCAGCAATCATGAACATTCTTTTTCATGTACAAAATATTTCTCATGATCAAGCTGCGGAGAAAACCTTTTATACACAACAATTTAAAAATCAACAGCGAATTAAAGAGCCAAAACCATAAATAACAAAATTCTCAGAATCCAAAAAATTACTAATTTCCACAGTTCCATTACATCAATACAAGGACGAAACCATTCTCAATTTAAACAGAGACACGATATTTGTCGCAGTAATATAACGCACAGTATACCATTAGAAAACAAATTTAAACAGACAGAAATATTAGAAGATATTTACCTTGGCTCTCATCTTGGATTACGGTCTCTCTTTCTCGGTCGACTTACCTAAGACGATGAAGATGATCCTTTGATTGAGAGAGAATGCTTTCGAGGTAAAGGAGAGACAGCCAGTGTTAAGTTCGTATTTATAGGGCTAGGGTTTCTTTCACGGAAACCCTATTTCCGCTGGAATTCTATAGATGTTTCTGGACCGGGCCCAACCGCGGGGCGGGAGCGAAAAGTGAGGCCCAATCTCTCGAAAATAACCTACTTTAGATTTTAAAAAAAATAATAATATATATTCAAATTTATCATATTTTAGATCAAAAAATATTTTTTTATTTTTAATTTGAAAATATCGTATTTTAGATTAAAAATATATTTTTTTATTTTTAATTACATATAACTTTAAACATAAATTTGGGATGTTTATTTTTCTAAAATAATTTTATTAAAATTTTTAGTAGGCATAGAAAGGAGCAACAATGTTATTCAAAAAATAAATAATAATTGTCTAACAATGAAGTGGGGGGCTATTTAGTAGCCCAACCCAATCCCTTAAATAGTATTCATCGTACCAACGGGCCCAACTCTAGGCCCATAAATTTTTGAACACAAGTCCAGTCACTCAATCGTAAGAAACAACTGAAAATGGAAGAAACAACCTCACAAAACCATCGTGATTCCGCTGATGAAACCAACGTTTCATTTCAAATTAACATGAATTCTTCTCCAAACGGTGATGCGAATAAAACTCCTGAAGAATCCGAGCTCAACAATACCATTAACACGAAGAGCAGTGAAGCGTTGCCCAAAGCTTTGTCTTGTATGTTGACCAGCGTAATCAAAGACTTCGATTCAAAGGCTCAAGACACTCTACAGTCACAGGACCAGCTCGCTTCCGCCATCGATCGTCTCACTCGAGGTCATTTATTAAGCACTCCTCACTTCATTATCTATTATTCTCTTTTTACTGCATATTTGTTTATCTCAGTATTTTTAAATATTTCGAAATGCGTTTGATAATAGTTTGAAATGATTAAAAATTTTAATGTAATGTTAAAGATTGTATTCGAAAATTGATTTTGGATACAGTCGTTTTTATATAAAATGATGAATTTTAGTCAAATTCTATACCTTTGGAACTGTTTTACTAGGTTTATTATACATTTTTTTTTTTCATTTTACGAGTTTAAATTTTTTATATTATTATTAGTATTTTATGGAAGTTTTCTGTTGAACATGACTATGTTTGTAATTGCTCTGATTTTTGGCTTACTGATCCGGTAATTGGATGGTTCTATGATACAAATAACGATTGTTTTGTAGCAAGTTTGAAATAAGTTTTAACATTTGTTCCGGCATCAATACCTTCCAGTATTATAGAATGCTTTAAGTTTGGTAGGAACTTAGTTTCTTGCATCATTAATTGTTTTAATTCAATTGCAATCTTGTTTGAGTAATATGGCACGGATGTTGCGAAGTCTATCTGGGATGAATACTTTACTCTTTACTAATTAGCATATAAAGATCAATTAGACACTGAGAAATCTTGACCAGTTCTCTAGCAGAATTTAGTTATGCGGAGGTTTTGAGTAAAACTGCTACAAATAAACTAGTGTGTACTTAGATTTATGTATGTGTGTATGCTTAGCTCTAGAGCTTCTCTTATTTGGAAGGTTACAAAAATTATGAATAAAAGGAGATGGCACATGATGGGTGGATTAAAATAAAGAATTACCTCAACCATGAGGATGAAGTCCAGTGGTCAAGCATGTGGTGTGATTCTTCTAGATTTTTCTAAATGGGTCAAGGGATTTATACGTTGGTGAGCGTAGTGCACAGTTAGTGTTTTGGACATGTTTTTGGAATGATTTTTTGTGATGGAATGCCTTTTGAATTAGATGTTCCTGGGTATTTGTCATACTTTTGTGCATAAGGAATGCTTTAGTGAGTGGAAGGCTCAGCTGTTGAGTTTTTTTTTGTTGATCTGGAGGGAGATGCTTTGGTGCCATTTTGCCAGTACAATTGGGCAAAATATGATTGAGGATTGAACTTGGTAACTTTTCTTTAAGGTAGAAGTTGTGGTACAACTGAGTATCTATAGGAAATTCTGACACCAAGCAGGAAGTTTGATAATAATGTTTTTGTCATTGCAATGTAACTGGAGGCAATACTGTGTGGGTGTTCCGTTGGAAGGATGTTTTCTGTGTGCTGGTTCTCCCATGGCAACCTCTAAACGGCTGGCAGCTTCTCAGATAATTCAGAATATTCAAGCAAAAGAATTCAAAAACCAGTGGACACATATAAGGTTACACTGCTCAGAGGGGAGTTCGGTTATCGCGTACAGATTGGTGGGTCTGCCTTCTAGTTAGAAGCTTGTTAGCGTTAGCATGTTGAACATTTCATGTCTCCTATGTAGACATCCTGAAGTCTTAGCTAGACATTTCTTTAGCAAGCTTACTACAACGAATCTCAGACCTCACACATTAGCTTGTCTTAGATTTTGTTTGTAGGGTTCACTTAGCTACTTCACTTAGGAAAGAAGGCAAGTAAGAACTGCTTCAAGCATATTATAAATTCTTCGTATTCTTCACCGCTGAATTAGAAGATTATGTAGATACATGTAGGCTGCTAGAACTTCCAAATTCAAAAATGACAATAACTCCCACTGTAGAGAATATGAAATGGTAGAAGCTTTGAATTTTGATTAGCATGCCAAGGTAACCGCCAGCTAGATCTATTGAACTTGAGGCTGATTGATGGTGGACCCATATTATAGCCCGCAAAGGGCTACCAAAAATCTAATCTCTGCTAATAAACAGAACCCTCTTTAACATTTTATTCCTAAAATGTCTTAAATGTAATAATAAAAACGCACAGTTTTATCAAGGTTAGCACAATAATTAGGCTTGTTAATTCATTCAGAGTAGTTGGCCACAATATTGCCCTCCAAAGATACTCTTTCAAGTCTCTTTCTCTCTTTTATGGTTTCTTTCTCTTATTTGGGTAGTGTGTGCTGCTATATTATAAAAATTAAGCAGAAGCAGAAGCAGCAGCATAGTAAATTTAAGGAATTTATAGAAGATGTATTATCAGCTAGATATGACAGTCCCACGTCTGTGTTTAGATTTTTGTTTTCTGCCTTGTTCCTCTTTTTTCATTCTTTTCTGATCCCAGGCAAGTGTCTCTAGCATGAAAATATATGTTTTGTTAGAATCAACTTGTTATAGATTTGTCTCCTCACCCTTGTGTTTGATATTCCTGCGTCACTATTTTCTAAGTTGTATGGTATAAAATTTTAGTGTATGTTGACAGAGCTTGATCAATTATTAGAAGATGCACCCTTGCCATTCATTATGCAACATGCAGCAAAGATTTCTAGCGTTAGAAAGAGAGTTTCATCATTGAATTCACTTTTGAGATCCATACAGCAGCGTATTGATAATGTGGACCGAATGCTATCAGCCGGGATTCACCATGGTAATTTTATTTCTTCATAGGCTACATAATCCATTTTTTAACATCTGTTGTTATTGAATGAATTGAAGTTTTGTTGAACCTCAAAATATTCACTATGCACTACAATGTGCATGGTTCCAATTACTCTACCTCTCATCTTCTCTGCAGCTGCCATATGGCTTTTCTCAGAATAAAGCTTCAATCTTTATTCTGTGCAACCAGCCATTGTTACACTTAATTTTTAAACCCACCCGCTTCTCTTCTTCTTCTGGAATAAATAACTTTAATATTTGCTCCTGCCTCAAAATTCTGTACACTGGCTTCATTCCTTGTGGTAAAATAATCTTTATTTTTTTAGGAAAAATAATTCTGATTTGTTCCAAGATTAATTTGAAGGCCTTTCAATGTTGTTACTAACACTTCCAGCCAGACCTACATTCTCTTTGACCATTCATCATGACTGTCATCACAGCATAGTAAATGAATCCCTGATGCAGTGCAAGAAGCCACAAGTTTTTCCGAGCCTGATTCATGCTCCCACTTCCCATTTTTAATTTAACATCCCACTCTATTGACTCTAGAATCCTAAATCATAGCTAACCGAGTGTATTTTTTTTTTTTTTTCGCGTTTACATGCCAACTACTTCCTGATCCTACGGCATAATGTTCAGATTGGTATTGCAATATAACCTAGTAGCATGTTTAATTATTATTTGCTAGGACTAAGGATGCAATTCTTTTTCATCCATAGCTATAGATTGAGATATTTTTTTGAAAAAAAAAAAAAAAAAAATTGCACTCTTATTATAGATGCTTCATGATTTTGGTCATAAATATGATTATTTTTTATTTTTTTTTACCTTCGATTGCTATTTTGTTTTCCTCGTTGTTGCATTATATAGTTGAAACTGATTTATTTAGATGTAATTTGCAGAGAAAACCACCAGAGAGAATTCTTGAGAACATCGAACATTGGTTTTGTATTGAAGGTAAACTTGTCAGAACACAGTAATTTGCGATAACTTACATTTTATGTTGAAGATGGTTTTGTTAAAATTTCAGGGTTTCTTGAACCAAAGACGCCGATACTTGAGATGTCTCTTAAAATTACACCAAGTTTCTGCGCTTCAAAATTTGATATTCTAAAGACATGGCTACAAGGTGGTGAAGAGTGCTGAAAATTTGGCTTTTGATTTCCAAATATATTGGATTTGAGCCATTAACCAGCTAGAAGGATAGTGTTTTAGATGTCTAGTTGATTTTCAACTTTACTTGATGTACCATGATGTATTTTATTATAATTGTTCTTTAAAAAATCACATCATCTTCTTGTAAATTTTTTTCTTCTTTACTTAAAAAGTAAAATACGAGGAGATATTAATGGTAAACTTTATTGGATCATTAAATCTACAAGAAGAATAAACTTTGGGTAGTAAATTGGTATTTTGAAACTTTTGGATGGGAAAGTGTCATTAAGGCAAACCTTGGGTTGAAAAAAGTTGTTTACTCTTAATTTTATAAAATTCATAAAAAGTATTACATAATTCTTTATAGAGTATTTTTAATAATTTTAAAGGGTTTTTTTAGTCTTTTAAATAAGGATTGATCTCGTCTGTCTGAAGGATGAATAAGTAACAAGCACTCAACGAATTTTCGAAAACTATTAATTACTTCTTTAATATTAGTAAAAACCTCTAGAAAATATTTCAAAACTCTTATAAATATCAAATCCTCTTGAAAATTATGAAAACCTTTAACAGAAGGTATTTAATAAATTTCAAAAAATAGTTAAAGCACTTTAGATTTAACAATAAGAAAATAAAAATTAACCCTGTCATAATTAAACCAAAGTTTGTAACATGAACTGCTCTAAAAAACTTGGGCCCAACAACTCGGCCCATTAAACCCCTTTCACCTCTCCAAAACCCTAATTCCACTCTTTAAATATCTTTGTCTCTCTCAATTCTTCCCCAGTTCCTCTGTTTCTCTCTTTCTCAAAAAAATATTAACGATATGATGATAAATGGTTGTCGCCCCAGTCTTACAAGCATCAATTTGATGCTTCATGGTGATTGACATCTCTATATCTGATCACATTCTTCGTTCATTTATTTATTTTAATTTTTAATTCAATTTTCTCTTAATTTCTTGCAAAAATAATGTTTAATGCAAGGAGGAAAGCAAAGCATGATGATGTTTCCAAATGTTTCTGTTATCCAAGTGATGATTTTTATAACATGCACTACCATCTGACTCTTCTTCCCTTCACTTTCTTTTTTAATGTTTATGATAAAAAAATTCGATTATTATTGTTAATTATTTACCCATATGGGATTGGGGAATTTGAGCAATCGGTGATGAAATATGATCCCAAATTTATGATATTTGAGTGATTAATGTATCAAATAATCACCATCTTTCGGCTGAGATTGCATATATTAATAAGTGTAATTTGCCCAAGGTATCTAATGCCTAGAGATTAATTTGATGGCTGGGTGTTTCGTAAAACGGGCATAAAATTAATAACAGGTTTTTGCGACACAGTTTGCTTCCATTATTTTTATGAGCTTGCTGTTACTTTGTCCCTGTTTATATTTTCTATTTATTATTTACTACATAAATATGTGGTTATCATTGTTATAAGATTTTAAATAATTTACAAAATAAATTATGACTTCCAAATTAAATCATTCAAATATGAGATTGCGAGATGGACTTAATTCATATGTTTGATTTTAAAAATTGAATAAAATATTAATTGTTAACAAATCAAAATAAACATCAGAAATCACATTCAGCAAATTCAGCTATACTAATAGCATAACCTAACAAAAGGGCTTTTATTACTTACATCAGAGCCCCCACTGTTTTCCGAAAATATTGAAAAAGGAAAAAAAAATCCCTGAAATTATAGTGGTAAGTGAATTTCAGGGTTTATTAAATACTTTTGGAAAACCATGGGAGCATTGGTAATTATCTCGCACGGTTGGATCCAACAAAACAAAGCTGTCTTTTGACCAAGTAAGATAGCTCATTTTAGGTTTCATTTGATAGATGCCATTAGCAAAATGTGAAATGGGATTTCAGTAGCAAAATGTGAAAAGGGTTTTGCTTGATAAATAAGAAAAGACGGTTTCTTTAAAGAGTAATGCTACATGTATAAACAAGTCTTACAAAGATTTGTGTACAAATTGATGTGACACAAAATAAATGAAAGAGTGAATATGATGAGTTTGATTTTTTATATTCACTCATCCATTCATTTTATGTCACATTAGTTTGTACACAAATCTTTGTAAGATTTGTTTATATATCTAGTATTATTGTTCTTTGAATGTATGCGAATTTCAGGTATGCTCACGGGATGAAATGAAACTACACTTTTTGAGAGGATTTAGGGGAGGATATGGTTTCTTGGATTTCAGGAGAGGATATAGTTTCTTGTACAACAACTGTTGTTGGATTTTTCTAACAAAGGGAATACTGAGAAATCCATTGAGTTGTTCAGAATGATGCCACAGATAGATGAATAAGGGATGATAGAATTTGATTTCTCCATTCAAAATTCACTAGTTTCAATGTACTCCCAAGTGTGGAATGTGACCGATGCCTATGGATTCTTTACAAATATTACAAATCAAGTCACCTTTCTAACTACATTTTCTTATAAAATGGGATACTTTGATATACAATATCATTCCTATTATACCTTTCTTTACAATTCAAGGACTATTTCTGCATTCAAGGGGTAAATTATCCAACCAAGAATCATCCGACAGAGGGGCTGAAGATTCCGACTCAGTCGGCCATTCTAAACTAACATCTATTTCATCATAGATTATAGGTTTACATTTTCTATCCCTACTTTTACAAATGCCCTGTAACCAAAGACTGCAGTGCACAAACACCAAATCATTGAATTTTTCCAGTTCCACTTTGTTTCGTTTTTTGCTATGTACGCTCTCAAAGGTGCTCCAATTCCATCTGCACCAATGCGAACTGCAAGGTTGGCTCAGTATCCGTATCGCAGCTCTTTGCAGGGTTGGGATTTCATAACCGTAGCTCGCCCACCAATCACCTAGAGATGCATCATACCCAATTAGATATAACCCAAATATACATATTCTCTCAAGACACATGCAAGTAAGCAATAATCATCAAATAGCCTATAACCAGAACACAGGCAAATCCAGAGCCACCAACAAGGGGCGTCCGAGGACATGTCCACAATCTACCCAATTCAACTGTTCAAAATGTCAAGACCTTACTGATACTGATGCAACTTTCCTGACCAGTAAGAAAGATCATTATCATGCACAGCACGGATACCAGATCCAACTCTTATAAGATATACCGTAATGACAATATATACTAAAGGGAGAACTGAAACTACAACTTAATATCAGGCATGTAATTAGGTAGAAAATATTCCCCATATCTACAAAATACCATGAATTGTTTAAGGTAACAACAACTTACACATACCTGGGGCATTTAGGGTCCTTCCCATGATTGCAAAATCAGTCCCAAGAGCGCCTTGAGCATTTATGTACAATGGATGCTCCTTGGTGATTTCTATTTTCTCTTTATCTGTTGTAGCCAATTTTACCATGGCTTCTTGAAATCCATTCCTCATCTTCAAATCAATCTTGAAATTTGGGTTGTAGAAAATTGAAGGGTTGAGAAATGCTGCAGCTGCATGTAATGGTGAGAGAAGCTGTACATTCCATCTCCGATTAATTATCTCCCAAATGGGCACGTATTTCTCTTCAACACCCTTATAATATGCTTGGATTGAAAGTTTTGCCCTCTCTATTCCCTCGTATATGTAGCCCATAGCAGGCATGTCTCCATCAACAATCCTCAACATTTTAACAAGTGGTTCAGTCATACTTACAGCTTCATGTGCAGACTTCCAAAATCTGTCCAAATACAAGAAGGACTTTATCATTTGAGCATCAGGACGCCTACTATAAATGGAGGATAACCACTCCGAGTGAGAAAACATGTGCTTTAAATTTTCTTCATGGATCAAAATGGACCTTAAGGAGAGATAATTAGATACAAATCTAGTCATTCTTGGCCTGATCAACTCCTTTCCACCGGTAAACTTTCTCATCATATTTAATGTCCATGCATGACTGTAAATATACCTTGTGACAGTCTTTGCCTCCTCCAAGACCATATCCACCCACTCTTGTTTACCGATATCCTCCAACATCTTATCAATACAATAAGCAGCACAGGGAGACCAAAACAATGAACTATACTTGTTCATGAGAAGTCTTCCAGCATAAACATAACAGGCTGCACTATCTGTTATTACTTGAATAACATTTTCCACACCTACCTCCAAGACAACAGACTCAAGCAACTCAAACAAGTAAGTAGCGTCATCTTCATTACCTGATACATCAACTGACTTCAAAAAAAATGTCCCTTTTGGGCATGCAACTGAGAATACAACAAGTGATTTGGCTCTTCCATTAGTCCAACTATCACACAATATCGTGCAACCCGTTTCTTTCCACTCATCTCTATATTTCTTGTAATAATCATGTATGTCGTCTTTCACTTTTTCCAATAGGGTAGATCTCAACTTTTCATAACTTGGGGCTTTGTAATCTACTCCACACTCTGCTACAGCTTTCACCATTTCCTGATAATAAACAGATTTAGCAGCACTAAAGGGTATAGAATTATGGAAGTAAAATGCAGCAATCTTTTTATCGGCATCATCCTGTTTTTGCTTTTGGGCATCATTCTCTGCAGGCTGTAAACTCGGCAATGGGTGTGGAAACAACAAAGATGGACAGGTGCTACCATGCTGCCCACTAGAGCCATGGTTTAGATGGTTACCACCACTAGCAGAAGAACTGTTTTGTTGACCATTGGCCGCCCGATCAACCTTTGGTTTCTTAGGATTTTTCTGCTTCTTGGGAGTGCTTAATATACTTTGGATATGGTCGCGTACATCATCAGGGACTTCAGCACAAGGGACTATATCTTTGTTCTTGATTTGAGCTAAATGAAACTTCATCCGGTAAACCCCTCCACTGAACTCTCGATGACAATAATTACACCTCACCTTCTGTCGTGTCGCATCCACGAGCACACAATGCTCCCAACAGGCATCTCTTCCACGAACCATGATCCGTACAAACAAAAAAATAACATTTTTATTCACAGAGTTATAATGGTAAGAGAATTTCAGGGTTTATTAAATACTTTGGAAACCGTGGGAGCATTGGTAATTATCTCTCACGGTTGGATCCAACAAAAACAAGCTGCTTTTTGACTAAGTAAGATAGTTCATTTTAGGTTTCATTGATAGTAGATGGAATAGCTAAATGTGAAATGGGATTTCAGTAGCAAAATGTGAATGGGATTTCAGGGGACGGTATAGTTTCTTGGATTTCAGGAGAGGATAAAGTTTCTGTACAACAACTGTTGTTGGATTTTTCTAACAAAGGGAATACAGAGAAATCCATTGAGTTGTTCAGAATGATGCACAGATAGATGAATAAGGGATATAGATTTGATTTCTTCATTCAAAATCCTAGTTTCAATGTACTCCCAAGTGTGGAATGTGACCGATGCCTATGGATTCTTTACAAATATTACAAATCAAGTCACCTTTCTAACTACATTTTCTTATAAAATGGAGATTCGTCTGTCTGAAGGATGAATAAGTAACAAGCACTCAACGAATTTTCGAAAACTATTAATTACTTCTTTAATATTAGTAAAAACCTCTAGAAAATATTTCAAAACTCTTATAAATATCAAATCCTCTTGAAAATTATGAAAACCTTTAACAGAAGGTATTTAATAAATTTCAAAAAATAGTTAAAGCACTTTAGATTTAACAATAAGAAAATAAAAATTAACCCTGTCATAATTAAACCAAAGTTTGTAACATGAACTGCTCTAAAAAACTTGGGCCCAACAACTCGGCCCATTAAACCCCTTTCACCTCTCCAAAACCCTAATTCCACTCTTTAAATATCTTTGTCTCTCTCAATTCTTCCCCAGTTCCTCTGTTTCTCTCTTTCTCAAAAAAATATTAACGATATGATGATAAATGGTTGTCGCCCCAGTCTTACAAGCATCAATTTGATGCTTCATGGTGATTGACATCTCTATATCTGATCACATTCTTCGTTCATTTATTTATTTTAATTTTTAATTCAATTTTCTCTTAATTTCTTGCAAAAATAATGTTTAATGCAAGGAGGAAAGCAAAGCATGATGATGTTTCCAAATGTTTCTGTTATCCAAGTGATGATTTTTATAACATGCACTACCATCTGACTCTTCTTCCCTTCACTTTCTTTTTTAATGTTTATGATAAAAAAATTCGATTATTATTGTTAATTATTTACCCATATGGGATTGGGGAATTTGAGCAATCGGTGATGAAATATGATCCCAAATTTATGATATTTGAGTGATTAATGTATCAAATAATCACCATCTTTCGGCTGAGATTGCATATATTAATAAGTGTAATTTGCCCAAGGTATCTAATGCCTAGAGATTAATTTGATGGCTGGGTGTTTCGTAAAACGGGCATAAAATAATTAACAGGTTTTTGCGACACAGTTTGCTTCCATTATTTTTATGAGCTTGCTGTTACTTTGTCCCTGTTTATATTTTCTATTTAGTATTTACTACATAAATATGAAGTTATCATTGTTATCAGACTTTAAATAATTTACAAAATAAATTATGACTTCCAAATATAAGATTGCGAGATGGACTTGATTCATTTGTTCATTGTTCTTAGATAGACTAGCAATATTAGCTGAACTGCTATGAAACTCAGTATGAACCAAGGAATTTATGGTACCATTAGCTTTCTCCAGCCTAAGTTCTAGCTTTTGTAAAACAATTCGAGCTTCTTGCACCAACTTTGGATTCAAGCCTAGTGGTTATGTTAACAACTGTCGCATCATGTTCAAAATCTAAACCATCCAATACGTAATTCAATAAATCTTCATCGATGATAATAACACCACTAGCAATCAAACTCTCAGCATAACTTTTCATCTTTAGAAAATAATCATGCATACTTAAACTATCATTTTTCGTGTTTTGCATTAGACTTTTAACATGTAGTGTTTTAGCTTTCGATTTGGTAAGAAATTCCTTTTTCAAGGTTGACCATATATCGGTTGCAAACTGACACTTAGAGATCACAGGAAACATAGACTCTGATATTGAAGATAATAACCAATTTACCAACAATTTATCAGTTCTCTTCCAAAGTAGATACTCTGAATTAGGTTTTTTGTGTACCTCTGAACTTGAGCTATCCACTTGAACACGAACAAAGGGTGTTGGACATGATACGAGTCCAGTGAGGTGTTTTTCAAGTCCATGAGCTCTAACGGCAAACAGGATCTGTGATTTCTAGAAACGATGGTTATCTCTTGTCAATTTTGGTGAGATTATCGGAAGTGTTGAAGAAGAGAGAGAAGAAGAATTGGAGAAATTGATTGAATCAAAAGAGTGTTTGAGACTTGAATCTTTATTTGCTTTGTCAAAGGAAGAAGAAATTGGTGAGGGATCGGCCATTTTCGACGTTGGTCAAAGGCTCTGATACCAACTTAGAACACTAACAGAAAACGCAGGAAAAACAGAGCAAAAGAGAGAAAAAATTCAGATCTGTGTTATTGATGATCATTAATGATACATGCGTAAAGTGTTTTATATATACATGCGTACTACATGTATTTTGCATATGCACTGTAACAGAAATTATAACAGAAATAAAACTAACTCCCTGACACATCATCTATAATCGGTCAGATTTCATTACTTCCGAACAATGTGATTTTAAAAATTGAATATAATATTAATTGTTGACAAATCAAAATAAACACCAGAAATCACATTCAGCAAATTGAGCTATACTAATAGCATAACCTAACAAAAGGGGTTTTTATTACTTACATCAGAGCCCCCATTGTTTTCCGAAAATATTAAAAAAAAAAAAAAAAAAAAAAACTCAACCTTTTTATTCACAGAGTTATAATGGTAAAAATTTCAGGGTTTATTAAATACTTTGAACCGTGGAGCATTGGTAATTATCTCTCAGGGTTGATCCAACAAAACAAAGCTGTCTTTGACTAAGTAAGATAGTTCATTTTAGGTTTCATTTGATAGATGTGAATACTAAATGTGAAATGGGATTTCAGTAGCAAAATGTGAAATGGGATTTCAGGGGACGGTATAGTTTCTTGGATTTCAGGAAGGATAAAGTTCTTGTACCCAACTGTTGTTGGATTTTTCTACAAAGGAATACAGAGAAATCCATTGAGTTGTTCAGAATGATGCCACAGATAGATGAATAGGGATAATAGAATTTGATTTCTTCATTCAAAATTCCATAGTTTCAATGTACTCCCAAGTGTGAATGTGACCGATGCCTATGGATTCTTTACAATATTCAAATCAAGTCACCTTCTAACTACATTTTCTTATAAAATGGGATACTTTGATATACAATATCATTCCTATTATACCTTTCTTTACAATTCAAGAACTATTTCTGCATTCAGGGGTAAATTATCCAACCAAGAATCATCCGCCAGAGGGGCTGAAGATTCCAACTCAGTCGGCCATTCTAAACTAACATCTATTTCATCATAGATTTAGGTTACATTTTCTGTCCCTACTTTTACAAATGCCCTGTAACCAGACTGCAGTGCACAAACACCAAATCATTGAATTTCCCAGTTCCACTTTGTTTCGTTTTTTGCTATGTACCTCTCAAAGGTGCTCCAATTCCATCTGCACCAATGCGAACTGCAGGTTGGCTCAGTATCCGTATCGCAGCTCTTTGCAGGGTCGGGATTTCATAACCGTAGCTCGCCCACCAATCACCTAGAGATGCATCATACCCAATTAGATATAACCCAAATATACATATTCTCTCAAGACACATGCAAGTAAGCAAATATCATCAATAGCCTATAACCAGAACACAGGCAAATCCAGAGCCACCAACAGGCGTCCGAGGACATGTCCACAATCTACCCAATTCATCTGTTCAAAATGTCAAGACCTATTTAGACCTTACTGATACTGATGCAACTTTCCTGACCAGTAAGAAAGATCATTATCATGCGGAGCACAGATACCAGATCCACTCTTATAATAATAACGTAATGACAATATATACTAAAGGGAGAACTGAAACTACACTTAATATCAGGCATTAATAGGTAAAATATTCCCCATATCTACAAAATACCATGAATTGTTTAGGTAACACAACTTACACATACCTGGGGCATTTAGGGTCTCCCCATGATTGCAAAATCAGTCCCAAGAGCGCCTTGAGCATTTATGTACAATGGATGCTCTTGGTGATTTCTATTTTCTCTTTTCTGTTGTAGCCAATTTTACCATGCTTCTTGAATCCATTCCTCATGGTCAATCAATCTTGAAATTGGGTTGTGAAAATTGAAGGGTTGAGAAATGCTGCAGCTGCATGTAATGGTGAAGAAGCTGTACATTCCATCTCCGATTATTATCTCCCAAATGGGCACTTATTCTCTTCCACCACCCTTATAATATGCTTGGATTGAAGTTTTGCCCTCTCATTCCCTCGTATATGTAGCCCAAGCAGGCATGTCTCCATCAAACATCCTCAACATTTTAACAAGTGGTTCAGTCCACTTACAGCTTCATGTGCAGACTTCCAATCTGTCCAAATACAAGAAGGACTTTATCATTTGAGCTCAGGACGCCTACTATAATGGAGATAACCACTCGGAGTGAAAAACATGTGCTTTAAATTTTCTTCATGATCAAAATGGACCTTAAGGAAAGATATAGATAAAATCTAGTCATTCTTGGCCTGATCACTCCTTTCCACCGTAAACTTTCTCATCATATTTAATGTCCATGCATGACTGTAAATATACCTTGTGACAGTCTTTGCCTCCTCCAAGACCTTCCACCCACTCTTGTTTACCGTTATCCTCCAACATCTTATCAATACAATAAGCAGCACAGGGAGACCAACAATGAACTATACGTTTCATGGAAGTCTTCCAGCATAAACATAACAGGCTGCACTATCTGTTATTACTTGATAACATTTTCCACACCTCCCTCCAAACAACAGACTCAACAACTCAAACAATAAGTGCGTCATCTTCATTACCTGATACATCAACTGACTTCAAAAAAAATGTCCCTTTTGGGCATGCAACTGAGAATACAACAAGTGATTTGGCTCTTCCATTAGTCCAACTATCACACAATATCGTGCAACCCGTTTCTTTCCACTCACTCTATATTTCTTGTATATATCATGTATGTCTCTTTCACTTTTCCAATAGGGTAGATCTCAACTTTTCATAACTTGGGCTTTGTAATCTACTCCACACTCTGCTACAGCTTTCACCATTTCCTGATAATAAACAGATTTAGCAGCACAAAGGGTTAGATATTATGGAATAAAATGCAGCAATCTTTTATCGGCATCTACTGTTTTTGCTTTGGGCATCATTCTCTGCAGCTGTAAACTCGGCAATGGGTGTGGAAACAACAAAGATGGACAGTGCTACCACGCTGCCCACTAGAGCCTGGTTTGATGGTTACCACCACTAGCAGAAGAACTGTTTTGTGTGACCATTGCCCGCGATCAGCCTTGTGGTTTTAGATTATATTCTATTCTTATATTTCTATGATATGGTCGCGTACATCATCAGGGACTTCAGCACAAGGGACTATATCTTTGTTCTTGATTTGAGCTAAATGAAACTTCATCCGGTAAACCCCTCCACTGAACTCTCTGACAATAATTACACCTCACCTTCTGTCGTGTCGCATCCACGAGCACACAAGCTCCCAACAGGCATCTCTACACACCGATCTCGTAAAAGAAAAACCTAATCACTCACAAAAAAAAAAAAAAAAAAAAAAAAATCTGTTCAGTGTACCTAAACTATGTAACATTAGAAAACTAACATTCATTAATGAAGTAGAAACATCAAGCAGAAAATGAAATACAAATTTAGAATTTAAATCCAATATAAAAGGCGCAAATGAAATGATCAATAGCGCAGCATTTTCCTAATTCATCTAAACCATTTAACTACTAAATTACTGGTAATGACCCTTTGCTCTCCACCAGCATATTTTGAATTTTAAATTTTTTAACTGTTTAATGTAAGTTTAGATAACATAACAGATATTTATCACTAATTTTTTTCCTACTGAGTCACCATTTATATAACAAAAATCATCTATATTCTAATTTTAATGAACAAAAATTCACATTATCAATTAGCTTTCAGCTTAACGAAACAATAATAACGATAGTATGACCTCAATAAAAGCTTAAGAACGGCGGCAAAATGCGTACCTGAACTGGCCTGAAGAGGACGAAAGAAGAAAAATGTGCTTGTTATTGTTAAGTTAGAAGCGAAAAATCGGAGCGTCGGAATCTGGAAAGTTTCGGACGCGATTTAGAGT